TATAGATTTACCTACTTTAGATATTTCACATTATATATAATATTTTATAATTGGTTTGCATGGTGCTTTCCCATTTGGTTCTGATCTCTGCAATAACCCTGTGAGTTAGGGAGGCTGTATTGTTTTTATTCACCTATTCAGTTATTTTTTTCTTGAGCAGAGGGTCCCCACATACCCTCCTGCTACCCCCCAACCTTTCCTATCATTTCACCTATGACTAATATCTTCTGTTAGTATCGTGCACTTATTATGATTAGTGAACCAATATTGAGATCTTTTTCTTATCAAAAATAATATTAATAAACTCAAGCCCATAGTTTATTCAGACTTGCTTAGTTTTTATCAAATGTCCTTTTTCTGTTCCAGGATCCAATCATATTAACTTCGTGTGTGTGTGTGTGTCCATATTAACTTCTCATGTCTCTATTGGCCCCTCCCAGCTGTGGCGATTTCTCTGCGTCCCTGTTGTTGGGGCCCTGTTTTGAGGGATACTGATCAGGTGTGTCATAGGATGCCCCTCCACTGGAATTTGTATGACGTTTTTCTCACGTGTAGACTGGGGATTGGTTATGGACTTGGGGGAGGAAGATCACAGAGGTAAAGTGTCATTTTCATCCCATGGCCATGGTAGGTTTCATCATCTCTTGTCTTGGGAGGCATATCGCACAGGGCTCTTTTCAGATAAGAATTTCCAGGTGAGGCTCAGCCTGAAATAGAGCTGGAAATGGCTGTGCCAAGACTTGAACCCACACCTGCCTCTTCCCATTAAACCCTCCCCCCGCCTCGGGTGAGGCTGTGGTGTGTGTGAGTCAGAGCAGAATCGACTGGCCTAAGTCTGTGACCTCTGCTCACGCACTCCAGGATTTTAGCTCTCTGGACTTTTCCCTTGAGCATCTGCTGGGGCCAAGAAAGAAGAAATCAACTTGGAAGGGCTTCCCCATTTCACCCCAAATCCAGGAGCCCCAGGAAAGCTCCTTCAGCTAAGGAGATAACACCGAAACAGTGTTTAGAAAGCAATTGGGGATACCGAGGCCCAGAGAGGGGAAATGATTTATTTGCTTTGGCCTGACTCTGCCCCTGTCTGACCTGGGGTTCAGGCCACCCGTCTCTCCATAATTGCCTGTAGACGTTCTGTATCTGCGCAATATGGTAGCCATTAGTCACATGTAGCTATTTAAATTCATTACAGTTAAATACTATTGAAAATCAGTTTCTCAGTCCCACTAGCCACATTTCAACTGTTCCACAGCTACATGCGGCTAAGGGCTGTTGTACTGGGCAGTGCAGATTCAGAATGTTTCCGTCATCACAGAAGGTTCTATAGGGCAGCAGTGCTCAGGGTGTCATGGCAGTGCTGGTCTCAGTGCTGGCCCAGAGGTGCGGGAGGCCTTCGGGAGCTACTGGACGGAGAATAGGGTTAGCTCAGGACCCCGCACCAACCTGATGAATGTTTCTGCCTTTGCATCCCCCAGAATGAGTGAAGGCTGCCCAAGGAAAGGGGAGACGTGGCCAGAAAAATGCTACGTCCCTCTTACCTCTGTTCTTTGGGGTGAGAAAACAGAAGAACAGACACTGCTCCTGTTGGGGGTGGTCTGAGGAAGGAGAGGTAGCTGGTACTTCAGCATCTCCTAAGGCTAATGGTATTAACTACCATTTACTGGCTGCTAACTAGTCCAAGTTTCACGTTAAGAAACTGGCACAGACTCTGAAGCAGGTCCAGTTACAAACTCCACTTTACAGAGGAGATGATTGAGGCTCAGAGAGGTTAAGAGACGGCCCCAAGGTCACACAGCAGGACCAAGATGTTAGTTGGATCTGCCGCTTATGATACCACAGTATCACCTTGTGACAGGGAACTGTAGCAGCAGGTGGGAGTGCCGAAAGCCCTTTGAAGCCAGGAGGAGGTTTAGTGCTGCCGGATTCCCTCCTTGCCCCGCCCTTCCCCAGCCAGCTGGAGGCCTTCCCCAAGGGTGGGCTGGACAAATTCCCACATGTAATTCATGCTAGGACTCAGGCAGAGCACCTGGTAGGAGGGGGGTCAGGCTGCTCCTGGAACCCTCTCCCCCTGGGAAGAGACATGCTCAATGCGACAATCCAGACCTCTGCAGGGGACACAGAGGTGGCAGAGGAATGGACCTGGTGAGTCCCTTGGCAGCCCACCAGGCCCCTACGCTTTGTACCGTGGCCAGGGGCTGCTGCCCCATGCGCAGGTGTGCACAGCAAAGCTTCTCCCAGCCTGAGAAAAATACACTCTCCATTGGAAAGAACAGCTAAGTATAGCTTCTCGGCTCCTTCAGGTGATGACATACCCACACTCCAGCAAGGTCACATCTGCCGGGCCCTTGGAGGACAAGGCTCCGGCTTCCAGGAAATGCTTAAAGGCAGCTACCAGCTACCATTTGCTGAGTGCTTCTACATGCTCGGCCCTGTGCTAAGAGTGCTTCGTCTTATTTTAGCCTAACAACCATGTTCTGACATAGTTATGATTGTTGTCATCAGCTGCAAAGTAGTGGAGAGAGGATTTGAACCTGTATACCTGCCTTAGTCCAGCACTGAGCCCAGTATGTGGCTGTTGGGAGACTGGGTTTAATTTGGCTAGTGTCACCCTAAGGTGCTGATTCCCATCCCTCCTCTTATCAGACTCCAGTTGCATCGAGCTTCGCTGAGAATATTTCTCAAACTGAGCACAACTACCAAGGAAGCTGACCTTCCTCAGAGCCCAGGTCTTCAGAAACCCAGGAACTCGCCCCAGCGCTCCCTCTCTTTCCTCCCCCACTCACCGCCCCCGTCCCCATCCAGTCCCAGCCCATGTCTAGCTCTCCAGCCACACCCTTCTTTTAACCTCCAGTACCTCAGTCCACACCCCAGCATCTCTTGCCCAGATGGTTGCAGCAGCCTCCTCAGGGTCTCTCTGCTCCCCTCCACGATGGCGGCCCTCAAGGCTGTTCCCCATTGTAGAGAATCACGACCTTTTCAAATGCAAACCTGATTACATTACATCACACTCTCCCACCCCACTGCCTCAAACCCTCTACATCTTCCCAGTGGCTCTTATGTAAGCAACAAAACCAGCCTAGAGGCCCGGTCTAATCTGCCCCTCCCTCCCTTTCAACCTGGAGCTGGGTGGAATACCCTCTCCTCCAGCCACAACAGCCCTCTCTCAGCTCCTTGATTAAAGGCCTCAAGCTTCCTCCCATTTCAAAGCCTTTGCACCTGCTGGTCTCTTCTCCTCGTATGCTCCTCCCCTCCAGCCTTACCTAGTTAATTCTTACCCTCTTTCATATCTTAGTTGAAATGACACCCCCCCGCCCCCGCATTTCCAGGCACCTGAGGAAGCCTGGTATTAATAGCAGTTACTATTTTTTTTTAAATTTATTTTATTCTTTCTTGGGTGGGGAGATCATTAGGTCCATTTATTTGTTAATAGTTTTTATTTTTAATGGAGGTACCGGGGATTGAACCCAGGACCTAGTGCATGCTAAGCACATGCTCTGACACTTGATCTATACCCTCCCTCCAACAGCAGCTCCTGTTTAGCAAGCACTTAGTTTGTGCCTTGCCTGGTGGCGTGTCCTCCGTACCTGCCCTCCCATGTAACTAACAACCACCTGAGTTACTGCCAGCATTTTCTTTTCAGATTTTCCTGTAACATAAAGCTGATACTCCCGTAACATAAAATTAACCACTTAAAAGTGAGCAATTCAGTGGCATTTAGTACATTTACAATGTGTCACCACCAGCCTCTAGTTTCAAAACATTTTCATCACCCCAGAGGAAACCCCTTAACCATTAAACATTTACTCCCCATCACCGCCCCCAACTCCAGCCCATGTCTGTATGGATTTACCCTTTCTGGATTTTTCATGTAAGCGGAATCTTACCATATGTGGCTTTTTACGAGCGGCTTCTTAATAATTCCGGTTAATAGATGAGAAAATTGAGGCTCAGAAAGGTTGAGGAACCTCTTCAACGTCCCTCATCTAGGAAGGGGAGGAGCTGGGTGTTGGAACCCACACATCTAAGCATTTGGTGATACCCACCCCAACCTGAGCTGAATTTCCCGTCTTACCCTCTCAGGATTCTCTTTGAGTTAAAGGCAAAACCAGAGCAAGAGGTCCAATGCTGAGCTTAAAAAAAGGGAGGGGGTAGAATATACATAACAAAATTTACCATTTTTAAGTGTACAATTCAGCAGCATTAATTATATTCACAATGTTGTACAATTATCACCACTATCTATTTCTGAAATGTTTTCATTACCCCAAACAGAAATTCTGAAAACACGAAAAAGTAATTCCCCATTTCCTCTTCCCAGCCCCTGGGAACCTCTAGTCTACATTGTTTCTGAGTTCACTCATTCTAGGTACCTCTAATGTGTGGAATCACACACTATTTGTCCTTTTATGTTTGGCTTCTTTCATTTAGCATCATGTCTTCAAGGTTCATCCACATTGTAGCAAGTCTCAGTACTTCATTCCTTTTTCTGGCTGAATAATAGTCCACTGTATGGGTATACTATACTTATCCATTCATTTGTTGATGGATACTTGGATTGTTTCCACCTTTTGGCTATTGTGAATAATGCTGCTATTAACATTGGTGTACAAGTGTCTGTTTGAGTCTCTACTTTCAATTTCTTTGGGTATATACCTAGGAGTGGAATTGTTGGGCCACATGATAATTCAATATTTAGCTTTCTGAAGATCTACCAAACTCTTTTCCACAGTAGCTGCACCATTTTATACTCCTACCAGCAATGCACAGGGGTTCCAATTTCCCTACATCCTCACCAGCATTTGTTGGTTTCTGGCTTTTTGATGATGGCCATCCTAATGGGTGTCAAGTGGTATCTCACCATCAACTTGAAGCTTTGAGGTTGGTCACGGAGTTGGAGATGGAAGCTGGGTCAAGTGCAAATCGAGGACTGTTCCAGGAGGAAATCAGAGTACTGTCGGGGTACCTAGACCCAAATGCACAGAGATGCAAGACACGAACACAGCCCCATTTTCAAATAATTTATTAGGAATTTAAAACTGAAAATAAAACCTGGAAAAAGAAGTTACAGATGTGGAGAGAAGAGACACCGGAGGGTGGTAACTTGCTGGCTTCGAAACACCATGTAACATCTTTTTAAAAAAATTTCCCAAACAAATCAGAAAACAGAATTCCAGGGCCCTGAGCCCATGGGTGGGCCCAGCAGGGTGGGAGGGATCACAGGAAGTGGGGAGAGGGAAGCTAAGTCTCTTGTGACTCAGCTCAAACATGTAGAAAATTAATTAAAAATAAAAACCAATAAAATGCAGCTTCTCTTTTATTAGGAAACATTAAAAAAAAAAAACCCACGAACAGCCGCGCATCTCAGTAACAAAGATTATTGCTTTGTGATCTTGGGGCTGATAGGTTAAGCACCTCACACAATTAACTCTCCAAAGGGGGTTTTAAAGTGGGAGAACTATGATGGGGAAGGAAGCTTAGGTCCCCAGCCTCAGACCTGGGGGAGAAGGACACAGAGGGGGACAATGACAGGTGGGCCTCAGCCCTGCCACACTGGCCTGGTCACTCACTGTTCACGAACAGGCAGGACCTGAGCCTTGTTTTCCTTTGAAGGGGACTCGGGGGCTTGGGGCTGCCAAGGGGCTCTGGCCACTGGACCATCCTGGTGGGGAACTTCAGTGAGAAAAATGTGGGGGTTCCCTGAGAAGCCCTTTGCTTTCCCCTGGGGTCTGCCCCTTCCCAAAGTGCCCCCTGATGCCCACTCATGGGGGGCTCAGGGCAGAAACCATGAAGGCCCGACTAGGTAGGGGGTGGGGGGAGACCTTTGGAGAGTTAATTCCTTTCCAGCAGTGGCTCCGGGCGAGCCCTTCTCTTCCCTTGCCCCAACACTGGGTTTTCGGGGTGAGTGGGCCCAAGGTCTTGACCCCTAGGGCCTGAGAGAGAGGGCCTGCCTCGGCCACAATTGAGGCCTGCAAGCTTACAGTAACGGTGTCTGAGGAAGGGACAGAAACACAGGGGAGACCTTTGCTGGGTGGGGCGAGGCAATGCCCTCACCCCCAAGGGATCTGAGAGATGGGTGGGGGCCTCACCTCACAGTATTTACATATGATACAGGACGGGGTGGTCCAGGGGCTCGGCCTGGCCTGCACAGCCCTGTCCTCCTCTCCAGGGCTGGAGGGAGGTGGCCAGGGGCCCACACCCACATAGACATTTTGTTCTAAGCTGGTGGGGGGCACCTGGCCCCTTGCCCCCTGTGGCCTGGGGCTTCACATTCACAAACCTAGAAATAGTTTAAAAAAAAACAGTTTCTTTAAAAAAAAAAAAGAGAGAAAAGGAGGGAAAATCAGAATAAAAAAAACCAGGGTTGTGGCTGCGGCCTGCAGCAGGCCCCCTCTGCCCTCACTCTAGCTATGCACAAATACAAAAGCCTTCTTGGGGGTGTCCTATGGGGCGCGGCAGGGAGACCGGGGGCGCAGATCCGAGAGGAGAGGGGAGAACCGGGGGAGGGTGGGGGCAACCGGCTAATCCAAAATAAATAAAAGCGGGCAGGACAGGGCAGGTGGGGAAAGTGGGCCAGGGGCGGCAGAGAGGGAGGTTAGTAGGGGAGCCAGACGACGGGACATCCACACATCCATCGAGGGCAGCAGGGCAGGGGCCGGGGCCCAGGGAGTGGGGGGCAGGCAGTAGCGGTCCGAGTCGCTGCGGGGGAGGGGGCGGCGGCTGCGGCTGAGGTGTCCCCGCCCCCTCGCTGGCTCACTCGTGGTCCTCAGTCAGCTGCAGGCTGGGGTGCTGGAACACAGGGGGAGGTCATGGGCGTCCTACCGCCGCCCCTCTGCGACCCCCAGAAACCTATCCTCGGGCGTAAGGCCTCTTCCCTTACTCCCCTCCTAGACAAGCGTTGTTCCTACACCTCGCATTTTCTGTTCCCTGTTTGGAACTCTCCCTCGATTTTGAACGGCTGGATTTGTTCAAACCTCACCTTCTCAGAGAAGCCCCCTGAACCCCTAAAGCAGGCAGACCCCTCATATTCAGTTTGGAATGATCTCACTTGATTTTTGTCTGTAGGGTGAGGCAGGGACCTTGTTTGTCTCACGCATCCCTCTTGCCTGGAATAGTGCCCTGTAGTTGTCCGGACTAATGAAGGAATGAACAAAGGCAACGGCCGGTTCACGCAGAACCCCACCAGGTCACCACTGGCTGCATGATGACCCTGTGTGTGGGGTTCTCCCTGCCCCTTGATCTTGGTATATAAGTTGACAGGTTCCTGTTTTACCAGTTGGGTAATACTCTGTTGTAGGCATAGGCTGTTTAACCACTCTCCTATTCATGGGCATTTCAGTTATTTGCAGTTTTAAAAATAAATGCCTAGAAGCAGAATCATTATTTTAAGGGCATGAATGTTTAGTTGGAATAAACCCTGCCCTTTGGAGGGGCGGATTAGGTTTATTTACTTACTTACTTTAAAAAAGTTGTTTAATGGAGGTACTGGGGATTGAACGCAGGACCTCGTGCATACTAAGTACACTGAGCTGTACCCTCCCCCAGAACCCTACCCTTTGGAAAACCTGAGCCAGTTTACACAGATTGCCTTCCCCCCTCATCAATACTGGACATCATCAATCTCAAACAATCTTTTCCTGAGAGGCAGCATGTGCTGCCTTACTGTTTTGTTGTTTGTTTGTTTTTATTTACAATCTTTATGTAGCAGTTTGAGCAGCTTTTCCCACCCTTCAACTATTGCTGGGATGAAAGTCTGTCTCCCCACTGGACTGTGGGTTCCATGAAGGCAGGGACGAGGTCAGTGTCCCAGACTGGGCTGCCCGGGACCAGCCTCCCCAGTGCCACCCCCACCCACAAGGCCCCTGTCCATCTCCTCACCTCCTGCCACCTGTCTCCTGCTTCAGTGGTACCCATTGGTGAAAGCTGTGGCAATCAAGGGGCCCTAGAAAGAAAAGCATTTGATGCCTAGATTCATGAGAGAAGCAAAGAATGCCCAGGGGTTCCTTCTCTCTCCCGCAGGAGCCCCAGGTGAGGCAAAGACCTTGTCTAGCCCTGCCCATATCACCCTTGCTAGAAGATTCTCCAGGGTAGGATCAGGGAATCTGTATATAACCAGCACCCTGGAAAAGCAGGGCACCCCTGAGCTTGAATCTAGCTCCCATGCAGGCAGAGGTGGTGAGTCTTACTTGCACAGTATCCCCAGAGACCACCTAATGCCTGGCAAACAGAGGGTGCTTATTAAATGCCCACTGAATGACTGAATGATAACCCTCACTGATCCCCCACAGGTGACACTTTCTCCACCCATCATCCCTCACCTCCCTTCTGCACCCACAGTCAAGGACTCTCCCGCCTTCAACTTCAGGGTTCTCCAGGTCCGGCCACTCACCCCAAGACTGTGGCCGAAGCCAGTGCTGGGGGCGGGGCTGGCAGCACTGATGTAACTGCTGACCCCTGAGTCCTGGTTGGCTGCCCCATAGAGCTCGGCCATGGGGCCAGGGCTGGTGGTTCCCAGGAAGCCCCCCGTGCGGCTGGGAGTCGAACCTGGAGGGGGAGCCATCGTCCAGGGGTGAGAGCCTAGCAACCCAGAAAGAAGACGGTGATAGCCCCGGCGACCACTGTCACCCCACAGCACCCCTCTGACCCGTTCCACCCGCTCTGACCTTGACCCCTCCCTCTCTGCCTCACCCCCACACCCCAGCGGGGCATGTGGGTCCACTGGCCGAGATCGCTCCAAGACCGTCCGCCCCCAGCTGCCCTAGCCCAGGCCCCCATCACCTCTTGTCTGGCCACTCAGCAGCCTCCTCGCTGACCTCCCCTCCCCTTTGCAGCCCCTTCACACCTGTTCCCACCCTGCAGCTGTGCTCATTTCCTACAGTGGACATCACTCCACTGCTTAAAATGTTCAGTGTCTCCCCAAGACCTGGTTCCTCTTGCCTCCTCCCCATGCTCCACTCCTGCGCGCCACCCATGCTAACTGGCCTCCAAGCCTCTGCACCTGCTATTCCCTCTGCTGGGAATACTCTTCCCTTTTCTTTGCCTTCAAATGGGAAGTCAAGAGGTCCATCCTCCTGAAAGCCTTCCCGAGAGGCCTGTGAGCTCCTCTGCCCTGACCTCCCCCCGCAGGGCGGCAGCGTCCTTCAGGATGAATGCCTTTTTAGTACCTGACACCCCCACTAGTCTGTAAGCTCTGAGGGCAGAGACCACATCAGTCTCCTTCCTGGCTGGCCTGCCAGGTGCTCAGTTCATATTTGTCGAGTGAATGAGTAAGTGAGTCCCTCTGGAAAGGGGTGGCAGTGGCCGTGTCTCCTTCCCCCTGGGCTTCTCTGCCACCTGCACCCCTCCCTCACTTCCTGCACCCCAGCAGACCTCACCTGTCCCTCGAACCACAGCTGCTGCCGCCGCCGCTGCTGCCATGGGTCCGTAAGCGGTGAGGGGAATGGCTAGAAGGAAAAGAGAGCAGGTAAGCATGCCGGGCAGGCAAGGGGCAGAGGTGGAGGAGGGCAGAGCCTCTCAGGCCTCACCCCACCTCACAGGGGTCAGCGCAGCCCCAGGGTCAAGGCAAAAGGAGCTCCCTTGGAGACAGGGAGGAGGGAGGATGGCTTCCCAGAGATGGGCTAAGCCTCAGCTTCTTCCCTGGACTTGAGGGACGCACTTGAACCACCCACATCTCCTGGAGGGTGGGGAAGGGCAGCCCACTCTGAGTGGCTCTAAGCGTGGCCCACAGCTGCCCTCTTCAGGGAGGGCCCTTGGTCGAACCAGGACCCACTTAGCCCAGGGATATCCAGAGGTTATGTCTCTCTTCCCAACCCCGGGCCACTGGAGCTAGCGACCGACTGACACAGGTACAAAAAGCTGGGCCTGTTTCCCCAAGGGATGGACTGGGAGTCCTGCCCTGGAGCTCCTTGTGGGATCTAGTCTAGGCCACAATCCTGTTTGGCCCCTTCTGCTGCCTGGCCGGCTTCCCCACTCCCATTCTCCCGAGGACATGTCCTCCATAAAGTCTGTGCACCCAGTTTCCTGCCTCAGGGCCCCCTGACCACCACTTGGGCAGAAAAGACCACTTCCTCCCTGAGCCCCCCAGCCCCATTTCTCCGATCTGTCTTCAGACACAGGGATCTTGCTATTCCCTGGTTTGCTGTCTACTGCCACCCCTGCCTCTGCAGCGCCTAGCACCCTGCACAGTATTAGAAGGGACCTCTGCCGAAATAACCGGTTGGCGGGAGCCTGCAGCTCCCTCCCGTCAGGCGGGTTAGTGCCCCCTGCTGCTTGGCTCTGCCACTGCAGCCCGAGGGGCTGCAACCCCACCCAGCCAGGGGCTGGCGTGTTTGCATTGCCCTCTCTCATCCCAAGATGCACCCCTCGGGGCCATTTTGGTGACCATGGCCCTGAAATGGAACTGGATCTGGGGTAGGGACCTCGGAAAAAAAAAAAAACCTGAAAGTCTTTGCCAAGGCCCTTGGGCCAGGGAATTAAAGTCTAGGACAGCATTCCTGCACTGTTAGGAGACACTTTGCCTAAGATCATCAGGTGTCACCTCCTCTGAGAACCCTTTCCTGACCACCCCCGCTAAGGCAGCCCCGTGCCCCCGACCCTAACACCTTAGCACATCTCCCTGTTTTATTTTTCTTGTGGAACGTCTCACCCTGTGAAAGTATCTGATTTCCTTGTTTGTTTACTTGTTTATTGCTGGCTCCCTCCACTAGAATGTCAGCTCCAGGAGAGCAGGGATCTTGTCTGTCTCATTCCCTGCTGTATCCCCACTGCCTGGAACAGTATTTGGTACAACAAATATTGATTAAATGCATGAAGGAAACATCCTCATCTCTTGAAGGGGAGGGAAAAGTTCAGACCCCAGACCTCCAAGAATTGCTGATCCTTGAACCCACGTCCTCCCCTGCCAAGATGTCTGCAGAGGGGATATTTCTTCTCTCAGTTCTTTAAGGGCAGGGCTGGGCTCTGAGGTCTGGTTTGGGGCCCAGTTAGGCATTTCCCCAAAGCAAAATCAGCATGCTCTTATCACAACTGTAAAGCATTCCTCATTTGTATAATAAATATTCATCATCCTCTCTAGAGGACAAGTTCTGTGGATCGTGGCTTGGCTTTGTCGGGTCCCTGCTTTGCTTCCGGGGCTTGGCAAAGTGTCCCATGCTAGGTCCTCAACACAGAGTTCTAAAATGAGTAGAAAAGACCCCCTTTCACCTCCCCTCTCTCTGCTCAGGGAAGAGCCTCTATCGCCCCAACTACCAGGACCCTCTATTCCCTCCTGGTCCTTCACCCCCTGTTCCTCGTTCCCCTCCCCCATTTTTGGGGGCTCCCTGAGCATCCCTTGGAAGGAAGGTCTCATCTAAAGCAGCATCCACGCTCACATCCTCCACACACGGCTAGGTTGGGGGGAGAGTCTGGGGGATGGGGTTGGGGGGAGAAGCAGGTTGAACAGAGAAACCCCTTGCAGCCCACCTCACCTGCACCCCCCACCCCACCCCTTGGCCTTGGCCTTGGCCTCAGTCCCAGCTCCAGAGCTGAGCTGACTGGCCCAGGTGAGAACTCCAGCTCGAGAAATGGCTCAGGGTGGACAAGCACATCATCCCACTTGCCCAGAAGTTGCAAACGGGCACCCCAAGGGCTGGATTCAGCCCTCAAAAAAGTTTCATTTGGCTCATGGTGGTTTAAAAATGTTGGATTCATTGCCTACATTGGAAAATAATTGAAAAATTCATTTGAAAGTGAAAGCTGGGTTTTTGGCTTCCCTTGGAAAATGAGATCTCAAAGTGCTGGGTCCACACCCCCTCCTGGCAGGGCTGGCTGGCACCGGGGAGAGCCATGCCCACTGCTATTCCCTTAAGTCTCCTACCCGGCCCACTCTGCTTAGGGTCTGAGACCCTGGCTGGTTCACCACTGGATCCCAGCACCTACATGGTGCCTGGCACATGGGAGGCGCTAGATAAATATTTGTCAGAGGGATGAATGAGTGACTTAGCCTCCATCTGCTGGGCTTGGCCCCATGCCCCACCCTTAAGGGCCATGTAGCTACACAGACTGGCCAGTGCCGCAGCAGAGTCTGCTGCATCTCCACAGCCGGAGGGCTGGCAGGCAGGAGAAAAGGTCCTGCTCGCTTTCCCCAGGAAGGTCCCTGGGCCCTTTTTTCTCCCCATGTGGCCTGTGAGGTGTACGAAATCCGAGCAACTGACCTGTAAGCTCGGGGAGGACTGGGGCGCTCGGGAGAGGGGTCCGCTCTACACGGAATTCTAAAATGAAACGTAAAACAGCTTAGGAAGATGCAGGGAGGCCCCTTGGGCGTGGCCCAGGGAGGACAATTGTACCCACAGGGACACTGGGTCAGGGGGACAGGCCATGCATAGGACCCAAGAGCTGGGGGTGGGGAGAGCATGGTCCCCAACAGGGAAGGGTGGGGAAGGAGACAGACACCAAGAGGAGAGACAGACAGAAAGTGCGGGCAGAGTTGCCACCATACCCTGGGCACAGGGCGATGCTGGAGCTGCTATTTCCAGTATTTTCCTTAAAGGGCTTGAAAGTGCCCTAAAACATCTCCCAGAATCCACCTCTTCTTTTTTTGTGGTGGGAGGAACTGGAGGGGGTGGCACTGATGAGAAGCAATGACTCGAGAGCAGGTCAGGCTCCGGGTGGGCTCCCCGCTCCACCACTTTATAGCTGAGTCACCTGAGCGAGTCACTTTGCCCCTCTGAGCCCATTTCCTCACCTATAAAATGGGGATCGTCATGCCCCCCGCAGGAGGCTACTGTCAGGGTTAGACAACATAATGTGGACAGAGGATTCCAAGCTGGACAGCCTAAGAGGCAAATGGTACAAGTGCTGAGGGGGAGCCCTCTAAAAAAATAAGAACAAAAAAGCAAACAAACAAAAGGTTTGCAAAAATATGATATTTGATATTAAAACAAAAAACAATGAATAGTCATCGTGAAAGTACAGAATTTTGCTGGGATTCCTGCCACTTATTTGAATTACAAATGATGGTGGTGATCATCGTGCTTTCACACTGTTTTCCAGCATTCGGGGTCTCAAAAGGTCTTGTCGGCCTTGAAAGGGGCTCAGTGTAGCAAGTGGTCATTAGAAGTGCGTCCATAGAGACACCACCACGTTGGCCCTTGGGCATGCCCCCCACCACAAGCCTGATGCCCGTTTGGTGGAAATGGCAACCTCAGAGTTGGGTAGGGAGGAGAGAAAGGCAAGAGGCGGGCAGAGATCAGCCTGGAAGGGAGGGTGCCATGCAGGGCCACGCTGGGAGCCCCGCCCCCAGCTTCTGGGGATGGGGTGGGGAGGGGGAAGGTGGGGAGAGGCGCTCCTTCCTCAGACATGCCCTTCCTTCCAAGCTTCCAGCAGGCAGACCTCCCCCAGCCATGCACCCCGAGACACCGCCCTGAGGAGTCAGACTGCCCGGGAACCAGGGACATGCTGGCAGCAGAGGGATACCAGGCAGGACTTACCAGGGAACTGGTAGGTGTAGCCAGGGGCAAGGCCTGTATAACTCCGGCTGGCATAGGTCGTGGCTTGGAAACCGGGGTAACCTGATCAGGCAAGGGGACCAGTGTCAGATGCCTCACCTACAGCTCAGCGGGGAAGAATGTGAGCCCCTCATTTCCCTCCCCACCTTGTATCACAAATAATAATCAGTCATATTTACCAAATACCTGCTGCATGCCAAGCCCCGTGCAAAGCCTGTGGCACACTTTACTCTCTCCTTAAACCTCACAAGAGTCCTAAGAGGTACTATTAGGAGCCCCACTTTACAGATCAAGAAATTGAGGCCCATAGAGGTGACACTTATTAGCTGAGAATAATCCAGACTCATATCAAGGCCTTTCATGCTCCAGCTTCTTCCTCCGTCCTGTCCTCATCTATACCCCGACTCTCACTCTGCTCCAGCCACACTGGCCTCCCCACTGCTTCTCAAATTTAACAAGCTCCTTCCCACCCCAGGACCTTTGCACATGCTGTTTCAATTGCCTAGAACTCTTCCCCCATGTTTTCCCACGACTGTGTCCTTCTCATTGTGCAAGTCTCAGCTCCAAATGTCACCTCCTCAGAGAGGTCATCCCCCAAGAGTCCTCCTTCTCATCAGTTACAATATCTATCATGTCACCCTGGGTCTTTCCTTTCAGAGCACTGATGACTATTATCTGAATTTAGCCCACTATTTCTTTAAGTGCTGATTTTCTGTCTTCTCTATCTTTTACCTCTGTATCTCCAGCACCAGCATGGTGCCTGCTAGTTAGTATGCATATATTATAATAAATATTTGCAGCTTTGAAAGGAAAATCATACAGTGAGTAATCATAGTGTAACTGGGATTCCAATTCAGATGTGACCGGCTCCAAGTCTCTTAGCCACAATTCTCTCTATGGATTAGAGGTTTCCTTTTTCTTTTTTTCCCCCTCCCACTTTTTAAATGGGGTGAAACTAGCTAATGATTGTTGTGAAAGAAAATTTTATCAATATTCCAAAAGAGGCTAAAGAGACAGAATAACTAAATTCAATACCTGATTCTAGCATGGATCTTGTTCTGGAGGACAAAAATAGCTATAAAGAACATCATTGGATCAAAGAAATCCTGGTAGATTAGATTAAAATACCATCCCAATATAAATGTATGAAGTTGATGACCATGCTGTGGTTTCATGAAAGAATACCCATAATCTTAGGAAATACACACCAAAACATTTAATGGTAAAGGGCCACAATGCTTGTAACTTACCCTGAAATGATTCAGAGAAAAATCACAAGTGTATTGTGTGTGTCTGTGTGTACACACATGTATGTACATATATACATACATATACATACACATACAGAGGAAATGATAAAGCAACTGGGATATGATGTTAACAAGAGGTGAATTTGGGAAAGGGTAAATTGATGTTCTTTGTGCCTCTTTATCTTTTCAACTCTTCTGAAAGTTTGAAATTACTTCCAAATAAAAAGTTTAGAAAAAACTTCAGGAGAAGACTGTTCCATTCCTCCTTCTCACTCCCCATCTGCAATCCCAATGTTGACCGTCTACCCCACACCATGCCCTCCTCCTCTGAATCCCCAGTGCACCCCTCCCCCATCCCCGGCATAAAGACCCCCTTGTACTGTGCTCTTACTGTGTAGACACATCTCGTCTCTCCAGGGAGACTGTGACCTTCCTGGAGGCCCAGCCCAGATTTTTTTCTCCCTCATTCGTGGGCACCAAGCACTGCTGATTCCTGCTCATCTTCCAAGGCTCACAGTAACCTTTACCTCTTTCAGGGAGTCTCCCCAACCCCCAAGTGGGTTTAAGTGCCTCCCTGACAGCCTCCCATCACTCTGTGGTGACACTGCCCATTCACCCCTGTCTCCCACTTTGATGGGGAACCCCATGAAGGCAGGCCCTGTTTCAGAAGCTGACCAAGAAGAAGCAGCTATCTTTCTACTTTCCCAAAGGCCTTTGGGTCTGTAAATGCTGTTCCATCTGCCTGACCATTTTTCCCCTTCCCTGCTCCCTGCCCTACCATAACTAGCTCCTACTCAACCCACAGACTCAGTTTAAGTGTAACTTCTAGCTTCTCCAAGTCTTGGTCAAATTTGCTCTGACCATGCTCCCTTGGCACCCTATACTTCCTCGTCCTAAACCTCTTTATTTATGTTCTTACTTATTTGTTTTCCCTGCCAGACTGTAAAGCTCCAAGGAAAGTCACTGTTGTACTTCTTGGCATAGGGCTTGGCATTTATAGTTGCTCAATAACTATTCAGTGGATGGATGGGTGGACAAATGAATGGAATGGATGACCAGAAGGACCAATTAATGAGCAGCTGGATCATTCTTTTGGCTACCACCAGAGGGCAGCACCCCACAACCAAATCGCCCCACTTTCATGAGGACTGCCTGATCCGAGATACTCCGTTCACATTGGGGCCCAATGACTCAGACAGGAGGGCTGACCACAGAGGAGGTGCAACACCCACCCAGCCCCTGGAGCCCTAGGCGCAGTTCCGAGCGGGAAGAAGCCGCAGGTGCAGGCCTAGCACGTACCCAGCATGCCGATGCCCAGCATGAAGGCGTCCATTCCGTAGGGCATGACTCGAGACCTCCCCCGGGCCGAGCCCGTCGGTGACATCACCTCTTTTGGCTGAGCTTTCTTACATTCCACCTGCAACAAGACCTGGTGGTCAGTCCCTCCTATAGACCAAGGGTCACTGACCCTCCTATTCCCTAGCAGGGCTCTTTATTGGTAATTTCATAGTTAGTATTTCTGGAGCGCTTGCTATGTGCCAGAGATCGACTTTGCATGCAATAGATCATGGAATGCTTATACGAACTATGGTAGATGTATTACTCCCCCTCTCATTTTACAGATGAGGAACTGAGGCTTAGAGTGGAGAAGACATCTGCCCAATGTCTACACTAGTGAGTGGTGGAGTATGGATTTCAACCATAGGTATCTATGAACCCACCAACCGTGCTTTTTAAGAGCCACGGGACACCACCTTCCTGTCCAGATTTTTGGGGGGTGGGAGAATTGGCTCTACCCCACTAACTGTGAGGCCGTTTGCCTACCTCCAGAACCTCCAAGCATCCCTGGCTGGCTCAGGCTGGAGCCCCAGCCTCCCTCTGCATCTCCACCCCCTCCAATCCTGGCTCACCATTTTGTTGTTGATTTCATGGAAGTGGATTTCACACACTTTCTCCACGATGTCCTCGCTCTCAAATGTGACAAAGCCGAACCCTAGAGGGCAGAGGAAGGGTCAGAACCAGGCTCGTGGTCAAAGCCCAGCCCCAAGTCATACCAACACCACCACTCCACTCTCACAAGTAAGTGTCTAAAAGTTAAGGAGATACTCTGACCACCGTCTAGCAACTTCTCAACTACCCACTGAGACAGAGTTTCAACTCCAAATCACAGTTGTGAAAACCAAGGCTCAGCGAAGTGACTTGCCCAAGGTCACACAGCCAGTTAGAAAAGTT